ATAGCTATATCGCTAGCTCGCTCGCTCGCTAGATAGCTCGATCGCTCGCTAGCTCGATCGCTCGCTAGATCGATCGCTAGCTCGCTCGCTCGCTCGCTCGCTCGCTCGCTCGCTAGCTAGCTCGCTGCTCGCTCGCTCGCTCTCGTCTAGCTCGCTCGCTCTCTCGCTCGATGCTCGCTCTCTCGCTCGCTCGCTCGCTCGCTCGCTCGCTCGCTCGCTCGCTCGCTCGCTGCTCTCGCTCTCTCGCTCGCTCCTCGCTCGCTCGCTCGCTCGCTCGCTGCTGCTCGCTCGCTCGCTCGCTCGCTCGCTCGCTCGCTAGCTCGCTCGCTCGCTTCGCTGCTCGCTCGCTCGCTCGCTCGCTCGCTCGCTCGCTCGCTCGCTCGCTCGCTCGCTCGCTCCTCGCTCGCTCGCTCGCTGCTCTCTCGCTCCTCGCTCGCTCGCTCGCTCGCTCGCTCGCTCGCTCGCTCCTCGCTCGCTGCTCTCGCTCGCTCTCTCGCTCGCTCGCTCGCTCGCTCGTCGCTCGCTCCTCGCTCGCTCGCTCGCTCGCTCTCTCGCTGCTCGCTCGCTCGCTCGCTCGCTCGCTCGCTCGCTCGCTCGCTCGCTCGCTCGCTCGCTCTCTCTCTCGCTCGCTCGCTCGCTCGCTCGCTCGCTCGCTCGCTCGCTCGCTCTCTCGCTCGCTCGCTCGCTCGCTCGCTCGCTCTCTCGCTCGCTCGCTCGCTCGCTCGCTCGCTAGCTCGCTCGCTCGCTCTCGCTCGCTCGCTCGCTCGCTCGCTCGCTCTCTCGCTCGCTCGCTCGCTCGCTCGCTCGCTCGCTCGCTCCTCGCTCGCTCGCTCGCTCGCTCGCTCCTCGCTCGCTCGCTCGCTCGCTCCCTCCTCCCCTCCCTCGCTCCCTCCATAGCTTTGTTCGGAGTGTTGGTGAAAATTTGAGTTTCTGAGGACATCTGCATAAGATTGGGTACATAAATTAGAAATTTTCCCGGTAACGCTGATCGTGTTCTAAAATTAAATGTTATAATGAGTATTTAGTTATGTTATGTTTTGCAGCAAAAGAAGTTTTAAATATTTATAAAAAAATTAATATACATTTATAATTAATTAAAATTAATTAAAAAATAAGAAAAATATAATTTTAATAAACTTTCAAAAGGTATAAAAAATATAAAAAAATAATTGCAATGATTTAATAACCAATTTAAACAAAATTTAAAATGATGAATAACGGAATGGAAATGTTGAATAAAACACCTTTAAAATATATGAATTCCAAAAAGTACTCAAGATTTCAACTTATCCCGCTTAAGGTAAGTACATTACATGTGTATTTGGTTTTCTTGATAACATACCCAATTTCAGAAATCTTAATTTCTTCTTTATAAATTTAAAAAGAGCAATATTTTGCCTTAAAAATTACTGCACCGTCGAGTTTGGCAATGGTTAAAAATAGTTTCCTAAATTTATTTAAGGGCATATTTCTTATAAAAACTATGAACAAAATATCCTCAAAATGGAATGATTTTAAGGTTTAACCTTAAATCCTTAAAGGTCAGAATTAGGGTTGAAAGGTTGCAAATAAATTTCTTTGGGTTAATTAAAGAAGAGTAATAAATTTTCTGCAAATTTATTTAGAAAATGATTTTCCTTAAAAAATTTCGGAAAGGTCATAAAAAGGTTGAAAGGTCAGAAATATTTTTTAAAAAATTTTTGAAACTAAAAATTTTGAAACTATATTTTTTTTGCAAATACTTCTTTAGAGACAGGTACTCAAAGAGTTGAGGAGAAAATTCAGCTGGTTAAAGGGTTAAGTAAGATTATGTAGCATGAATTTAAGAAAAAAAAATAATAAATTTCGTTAAAAAAATTATTGATTTAATAAACTAACCTTAAACCTTTAAAGGTCAAATAGGGGTTGAAAAGGTTACAATTAATTTTCTTAAGATTAATTAAAGGAAAACAGTTGATATTTTTACGAAAAATAATAAATAATTTCCCTTAAAATTTAAAGAAAATGTAAGCTGTGACCCTTAAAGATCATAAGAGGGTTGAAAGGTTACAAATTAATTAAATAAAAAGTCAAAACTATAATTTTTGCAACAATTTCTTCAGGAACAGGTATTAAAAGGGTTAAAGGTAAAGGGCAGCTGTTAAAGGTTAAGAAAAATCATCTTGTGAGAAATTATTTTTTTCAATGTTAATTTGTGAAAAATCAAAAATCAGTTTCCGAAAATTAATTTTTAATTAATGAAGTAAAAAATTCATACTTTTTACAAAAAGGGTTAAGAATGTTGCTAAAGGGTTAGGAATTTTAAAAAGGATTATGTTCTGTTAATTTTTTTCTTAATTTTGGATTGTGTATTTTATCCCTAATCTCACTGATCCGTGACAATATTTATATCCTATGATTGCAAACGGTATGAAAGGTCAGTTTCCTAAAATTAAAAGAAGTCAAAAAGTGCATATTTTTTGCAAAAAAGTTTTTAAGATCAGACACTATAATTTAAAGGGTAAAGTGTAGCTTGTTAAAGGGTTTAAAGATTTTTTTGGGTGAATTCTTGTTTTAAGAATTGTAAATTTTACCTTAAAACTCACTGATTCTTGACAATATTAATTTCTTATTATTGGCAAATTTTAAACGTTGGAATTAACTAGCACTAGAACTGAACTAGAACAGAACTAGAACTATAAATAAACTAGAACTAAACTCGATCAGAGCTAGAACATAACTAGAACAGAACAAACTAGATAAGAAATATATCATAACTAGTACAGGACTAAAACAGAACTATATAATAACTACAACTGAACTAGGTCTGAACTATAACAGAACTTGAACAAAAACTAGAATAGAACTAAAACAGAACTAGAACAGAACTGGAATAGAACTATAACAGAACTTGAACAGAACTAGAACAAAACTAGAATAGAACTAAAACAGAACTAGAACAGAACTGGAATAGAACTATAACAGAACTTGAACAGAACTAGAACAAACTAGAATAGAACTAAAACAGAACTAGAACTGAACAAGAACTGAACTAGAACAGAACTAGAATAGATCTAGAACAGAACTAGAACAGAATAGAACAGAACTAGAACAGAACTAGAGCAGAACTAGAACAGAACTAGAACTGAACTAGAACAGAACTAGAACAGAACTAGAACAGAACTAGAACAGAACTAGAACAGAACTAGAACAGAACTAACAGAACTAGAACAGAACTAGAACAGAACTAGAACAGAACTAGAACAGAACTAGAACAGAACTAGAACAGAACTAGAACAGAACTAGAACAGAACTAGAACAGAACTAGAACAGAACTAGAACAGAACTAGAACAGAACTAGAACAGAACAGAACTAGAACAGAACTAGAACAGAACTAGAACAGAACTAGAACAGAACTAGAACAGAACTAGAACAGAACTAGAACAGAACTAGAACAGAACTAGAACAGAACTAGAACAGAACTAGAACAGAACTAGAACAGAACTAGAACAGAACTAGAACAGAACTAGAACAGAACTAGCACAGAACCAGAACAGAACTAGAACAGAACTAGAACTAGAACAGAACTAGAACAGAACAAGAACAGAACTAGAACATAACAAGAACAGAACTAGAACAGAACTAGAACAGAACTAGAACAGAACTAGAACAGACTAGAACAGAACTAGACAGAACTAGAACAGAACTAGAACAGAACTAGAACAGAACTAGAACAGAACTAGAACAGAACTAGAACAGAACTAGAACAGAACTAGAACTAGAACAGAACTAGAACAGAACTAGAACTAGAACAGAACTAGAACAGAACTAGAACAGAACTAGAACAGAACTAGAACAGAACTAGAACTAGAACAGAACTAGAACAGAACTAGAACTAGAACAGAACTAGAACAGAACTAGAACAGAACTAGAACAGAACTAGAACAGAACTAGAACAGAACTAGAACAGAACTAGAACAGAACTAGAAACAGAACTAGAACAGAACTAGAACAGAACTAGAACAGAACTAGAACAGAACTAGAACAGAACTAGACAGAAAACAGACTAGAACAGACTAGAACAGAACTAGAACAGACTAGAACAGAACTAGAACAGAACTAGAACAGAACTAGAACAGAACTAGAACAGAACTAGAACAGAACTAGAACAGAACTAGATCAGAACTAGATCAGAACAAGTACAGGACTAGAACAGAACTAAAACAGAACTAGGACAGACATAGAACAGAACTAGAACAAATTTAATTAAAACTCCTTTTAAATGTTAATTATAATAGTGCGATTTTTTTGTTTTTTATTTAATTTTAATTAATTTAATTATTTTTTGTTTTATGCATTTTAAAGTTAATATTTCTTGTTGTTTTTTAATTGTTTGAATACTACAGTTTTTTTAACTAGATAATTTATATAATATATAATTTTATTAATAATTAATATTTGTTTTTTTTTTAATTAATATTAACTCTAAACATTAAAAATACTAAATAGTGCTACTTATTAAATGTGCTTTGAATATATATAAATTATTAAATAAATTTATTATTTATTTTATAAAATTATAAAACTTATATTTAAAAATATGGTAAAAAGAAAAATAATATACAAAATTTTACAAGATAATTTAAAAAAAGAAGAAAAATTTGCTTTTTTAAAAAAACCAAAATAATTAAATTATTTTGTGCTTAATTTTTATAATAACTTTTGCAGCTTTGAACTTTTTGCTTTTTTTGTTTGTTTTTCATAATTATTATATAAATTTGTTGTTTAAATTAAAATTTAAATAAATTATTTTATAAATATTAATGTAATTTTTTTTGTACACAAAATATAATATTTTTCTTGAAATCAAAATAGCAAATGTTTAGTCTTAAATCTGGTGGTTTTTTGTTTTCTTTTAGTGCGTTTTTTAGGTTTTTTAAATTTAATTTTATTTTTTTTAGATTTTTGCTAAAAAAAATTTAAAAAATTTACAATAAAATCTTTAAAAAGCTAAAGATTTTCATAAGAAACCCATATCCAAGGCGGTATATTAAAGCTCTTATATCACTGTGAGAAGAAATTCGCCAAAACGGAAAGTTCATGGCCTTGGCCGCTGATTCCTCTTCGGCGCCATCACCCACTACCACATAAGTGCTTTTACGACCAAATCTGGTAACAATGCGCTCATAACAGGTTTCTTGTCCTAGAGGAAGAGATAGAAAATAGAACAATAAGTAATTGTTTTATTAATTTCGAAAGGGTATCCAAACTTACCTATTTTATGAGCAGAATAGATATTTTCTATATTAAAAATGCCTCCTAGACCAAAGAGTAAAACTTTGGCCAGAGCTGGTGCCAGCTGAGTAGAGGTTACCAGCACATTAACACAATTTTCACGTTGAGCAATCATATTTAAACATTAGTAGCCAAAGAGGCCCAGTTATCGGTAGCCATTTCTATATCTTGACGGATCTGTAGCCAAGCATCGCGTTTCGCAGGACCCAATAAACCGCCGACACTAAAAAATAAGTGAAACAAGAAAAAAGAAAAAAACAAATTAATAAAAGTTTTATCTCAAAATTCCCATAATCCTCAAAGGATCGTGCAGCGCGAATAGTGAAAAAAACTACGGTAAACAGAAATAAAAAGAAAAAACTTTAGGAATTCAAGAAGTACTAGTGACTCCTCGTTCTTTCGGCTCAAGATAAACAGAAATAAAAAGAAAAAATCTTAAAATTCTACAACTTTAACTCCAAAATACTTACTTTCCCCGATAAGTATTGTAAATCTCCTTGATTTTGCGATATCTAAAAGCTAATTTACGCATCCAATCCACTCCACCGCGTACACCAGTAGGCAGACACAAATTGGGAGGAGCTCCGGGTGGAGCACCCGTATGAAAACCATCTGTGGCAAAGTTATACGTACTCAAGTCCTGACCGTTATCATCCGAAGAAACATCATCTATATGCACTTGATCACATTCCTCGATTTCGTTAAAGAAGAAATGGGTATCGGCTAAATTGAAAACCATTTCTTCCATTCTAAATGCAATGGTCATTAAAGCACTATGATCTTTGGTATAACGGCTGGCAAATGAACCCGATAACAGAGTATGGAAAATAATAATGGTCTCATCTAAATCCCAGATAAAAACACGTTCTGGAGGTTTAACCGCCTCACTGTTGGGTGTATCGGAGGTGGTGCTGCGCGTGGGACTAGGTTGCTGATGGCGACGACCTCTTGATCTGCCCGTCTTACCGGTGGGTGTGGTTTTTGGTAGAGAAGCTGAGGTATTAGCCGAGCCCACATTGGCCGTGGCATTCAGGTTGTTATTGGGCGAGATCGGTAGCGGTGAATGAGGCGAATGGGTGTTATGCAGTATGGGTGTGGTAGAGTGTGTATCTGTGGGACTTTCGGAGAGATTAGAGGCGGCTACATGAAAACCATGACTGGCACTGGAACTAGGCGAGCTAACGGCATAGGGTGAATAATTGGCGGGATTATAATAGTTGCCATATTGATCATTATAATAAGAAGTATAATCCTGTTGAGCGGCCGCCGTTGCAGAACCAAATTGCGCGAAGTTATTATAGCCATAGGCGGTAGGATAAAGCTGTGAAGCATTATTATTAGAGGAGGCATACGAAGATGTCAAATAGGGTGACGTAGGCTCTATTTTAGTGGGAGCTCTGGCGCTGGCCGTGGTAAAGGGTGTACCATAGGTGGAATAAAACGGTGGCGTATACTGCTGCATGCTGTTGTAGTAGTTATAATAATCATGCTTAGAGTCATAGGCCACGGCGGCGGCAGCAGCAGCTGCTGTTGAATTAACGGCCGCCATAGAAGAGGAACTTAAAGAGTTGCTGGGTGAATCCAAGCCAGCTAAACCAGAAGCCGTATTAGAAACCGAAGAACAGCTATAAAGATTAGAACTCGTATTCGGATTACCGTTATCCAAATGACTACTTAAACTAGCAGCCGTATGCAATGACGAATGATCGCCTTGTAAATGTTGTTGCGATGCGGAAGATTGCGTATGCGTTTGTGTTAGGCCGGGCGAACGATTTTCTGACTTTACCGAAGGCAACTGTGTAGCAGACTGATCGGCTGTTAACCAGTGGGACATGCCACTAGATGTTAAAGCATTCGTTGTGGCAGCCGCAGAAGACGTCGACGAAGACGACAGAGTGGTGGAATTCTCATTAGCGGCAGCAGCACCAGCCGAGGTATTAGAAGAGCTGTTAGAAGAGTGCGGCTGCTGCTGTTGTTGTTGTTGTTGTTGCTGATATGTTGAAAAACTACTACTGCCAGCAGTGTGAGCAAATTGAGAGGTTTGTGTATTGGAGAGAGAGGGTAGATTATTACTAGCTGTTGCAGAAGAAGCGGAGTTTGAAAGACTACAGCTGGAAGAGTTTAATTGTTGAGAAGAGGATTGTTGTTGTTGTTGCGAATGCTGCTGTTGTTGTGGTGTGGACTGCTGCTGATGGTGGTGTGTATGAGTTTGCAGAGTATGTTGCGAGTGATGAGTATGATGATGTGGTGAGGTTTGCAAAGAATGATGATACGACGATAGAGAAGCCAACGAGGTAATGGTGGGTTGTAATGGTTGTGTTTGTGGTGGCAGAGATAAAGGACTACATTGACTGGCTGCCACTAAAGAAGAAGAAGAGCCCAGTAACGGAGCCTGTAAATGAGAAAGATGAGCAGCAGCCGAGTTTTGATGTGATATTATTGATGATGATGTTTGAGCGTTTGCTTGAGAGCAGAGACTGTTAAAGAGAGAAAAAGAGAAAGAATTATTTAAGATTTTAGTATTTAGAAGTAATTATTAAAATTTATTAGTTTTAAAAAAGTTCTAGCTTAAAACATCATTAATTTTAAATTAAATGTTTAAACATAAAATTTGACATTAAGTAAAATATAACGTTTTTTTCTCTCTAAATACTTAACAAAAGGAAATTAAAAACAAATAAAAATTATTGTTATTTTTCTATACACATGCCTTATTAAGTCAAGTGCCTAGAGAAACACACACACACTCTTGTTAGATTTTAAATTTTCAATAACACACGCAAGCGCAGTAAAATAAACAGATTTATGGATTTTGTCAAGTGTTGCTGGGGTTTTTTTTTTTTTTTTTGTTGTTCCAAATGTTTTTTTATTACAATTGTATTTCTTTTTTTTCAAGATTTTAAACATAGTTTAAGAAATTAATTATTATTTGTTTAACATAAAGTGTCTTTTGCGACAAATTTTGGGTTCCTTTTTAACGAAATCCTTAACATGTGTAAGACAAATGTTTAGGAAAAGGGAAATCGTAAGAGGTCCTATAAAAATAGCAAGAATATAAAGAAAAGCGACAGTAATGAAATTTGAAATACTTGATTGATTTTGAAGAGTCTGTTACTCTTTGACAGACAAGCCGTAAAGTTTACAAGCAGACACAGTGACGTAAACTAAGGGGAAGGGAATTAGTCGAGATTTTTCTGAAGGTACACAGAGGGAAAAGGAAATATACACGCCTGGTACCAAATTGACACCAAAGAGTTTATAATTTTTCAATAACATTCGTTGTCAAAGTATATACATACGTACGACAACACTATGTAATGTTGACAATGCAACGTTGTCAAGATTTCAATAATTCGTTGTCAATATCTAAATTTTATACACATCCGTTGTTTAAATGTTAACAAACGTGTTAAGCTCACTATTGGCAACGGATTGTTTGTCAATAGTGAGCTTACCACATTTGTTAACATTTAGATTTCGACAACGAATTGTTGCAATGTTGTCAACATTACATAGTGTTGTCGTACGTATGTATATACTTTGACAACGGATGGTATTGAAAAATTATAAACAGTTTGGTGTCAATTTAGTACCAGGCGTGTATATTTCTTTTTCCCTCTGTGTGTACTGTTCTTAAATGAATGAAAGATCCTGTCCTAAAATACTTTTTGAAAAAGTACTTTTTCCCTAAATAAGCACCTATTCCATTCTAAATCTTCTACCAAACTAAAAACTCCAACTTTTTCATAATTTCTCAACATTTTCACACCCTTTTTTCCTTTCACCATTATTAATCCCTAGAAAACTCTTTAAAAATTAATAACAAATTTGTTTCCAAAGTTTCTAGTTCTCTAAAACTAAGTGTCAAATGACACAACAACAACAATATCAAAACTATTAAAAACTGACCCTTAAAATTCTATATTTTCATATTTATTTCAAGATCAAAATTCATAATTTCAATATTTTTTGAAAATTTTTAACCAACACATGCTAAAATTTCGTGGAATCTTAAAAGGACATGTGTGGCAGACTTAAAGGTGGCAGGTTTTTTTCATCCTAAACAATTCAAAGAGAACTCTCTCTCTTTCTTCTAAAAGTGTCATACTTAAAAGTATTTAACACTTAAAGACCCAAAAAATGTCACGTATTCAAAAAAAAAAAAAAAACACAATTTAAAACTTAAAGATTTAAATACCCTTCGCATAATACGAGTTCAAGTTATGCCCCCTTAAAAGGTACTTAAAAGATTACTAAAACAAAGAAAAAAGGATGCCCAAAATGAAATGAACAAAAGTACAAAAAAAAAACTGTTAGGTGTTAATATAAATTATGAAAAATGTTTAACGATTTTTCAATAAATGTCTGGTCTCTAAAGAAAATTTGTTTTATTTTAATTTGAACAATTATAATTTCAACTAAATGAGTTGTATCCTCTACCAGTAACGCCCTCTTATTGTCTGAGAACTACATACATATTTATGCTTGAGAATTTGACACCTTTTTTTCTTGAAAATCTCAAGGTGTTAAGGTTTCATACACAAGCAATAATATATATATTGGAGAAATATTGCCATAAATCTTAATTTAATGTCACGTGTTTTGACAAAAATAGATTTAAAAGAAAAATCATTTGAAAATAACAAAACTTTCCTATTGTGAGGATTATAATTGTAACTATAGTCTAGCTAGTAGTAGGATTAATGGTATAAATTATAGCCTAAACTATAATCTAAGCTTTAGTATGGACTATAGTATAAAAAATAGTACAAACTATAGCCTATTATCTAGTCCAGTCTATCACAGTCTGGACTATTGGCTAGAGTAAAGCCTTGTTTAGTCTAAAGTCCATTCCAAAGTTTATTTTATAGTCTGAACTATTCTCAAGGCCTTAGTTCCCAATATCACCAGGAATATAGTCCAGTTCATAAATTGGCGCATAGTGTACCCCAGTCAGTAGTCGGGACTATACTTTGTTTAGGCTGTAGTCTGGGCTAAAGTCTATAGGCTGTAGTCTATATTCTGGTCTATGGTGTAGTCTATAGTCTGGACTATAGTCTAGTCTATGGTGTAGTCCATAGTCTGGACTATAGAATAGTCTATAGTCAGGACTATAGTCTAGTGTATAGCCAGAATTTTAGTCTAGTCTATATTAGGACTATAATCTAGTCTATAATGTTTAATATAGTTTAATCTATCGTCTGGACTACAGTCCAGTCTATGGTCTGGATTATAGTCTTGTCCACAGTCTGGACTATAGACTAGTCTATAGTCTGGACTATAGTCTAGCCTATAGTCTGGTCCTTAGTCTAGTCTATAGTCAGGACTATAATCTAGTCTATAGTGTGGACTATAGTCTAGTCTATCATCTGGACTATAGTCTAGTCTATAATCTATTGTCAAGTCTATAATTTGGACTATATTGTAGTGTATATTATAGTGTATAGTCTGGACTATAGTGTAGTCTATAGTCTGGACTATAGTCTAGTCTTTAGTCTAGTCTATACTCTGGACTATTGTCTAGTATATAGTCTAGTCTATAGTCTGAAATATAGTCTAGTGTATAGTCTGGACTATAGTCTAGTCTATAGACTGGACTATAGTCTAGTCTATAGTCTGGACTATAGTCTAGTCTATAGTCTGGACTATATTCTAGTCTATAGTATGGACTATATTCTAGTCTATAGCCTGGACTATAGTCTAGTCTATAGCCTGGACTATAGTCTAGTCTATAGTCTGGACTATAGTCTAGTCTATAGTCTGGACTATAGTCTAGTCTATAGTCTGGACTATAGTCTAGTCTATAGTCTGGACTATAGTCTAGTCTATAGTCTGGACTATAGTCTAGTCTATAGTCTGGACTATAGTCTAGTCTATAGTCTGGACTATAGTCTAGTCTATAGTCTGGACTATAGTCTAGTCTATAGTCTGGACTATAGTCTAGTCTATAGTCTGGACTATAGTCTAGTCTATAGTCTGGACTATAGTCTAGTCTATAGTCTGGACTATAGTCTACTCCATAGTCGGGACTACAGTCTAGTCCATAGTCGGAACTATAGTCTAGTCCATAGTCGGAACTATAGTCTATTATATATTCTGGACTTCAATCTAGTTTATAGTGTTGACTATTTTCTGGACTATTGTCTAGTCTATAGTATAGTCTAGACTATAGTCTAGTCTATAGTGTTGCATATAGTCTAGTCTTAAGTGTGGACTATAGGCTATTCTATACACTGGACTATAGTCTAGTCAATAGTATGGACTACAGTATAGTTAATAATCTGAAATATATAGTCTGGCTTTTAATCTAGTCTAAAAGCTGGACTGTAGCATATACTATGAGCTATTGTCAAGTCTATAGTCTATACTAGGTCTATAATCTGGACTGAAATATTAGAGACCTACTATAGTCATAGTCTAATGAAAAATCTATCTAGATTATAGTCCAATCCATAGTCTGGAATAAAATCTATAGTTTGGACTTTATAGTCTAGTCTTTAGTCTAGTCTATACTCTGGACTATTGACTAGTATATAGTCTAGTCTATAGTCTGAAATATAGTCTAGTGTATAGTCTGGACTATAGTCTAGTCTATAGACTGGACTATAGTCTAGTCTATAGTCTGGACTATAGTCTACTCCATAGTCGGGACTACAGTCTAGTCCATAGTCGGAACTATAGTCTAGTCCATAGTCGGAACTATAGTCTATTATATATTCTGGACTTCAATCTAGTTTATAGTGCTGACTATTTTCTGGACTATTGTCTAGTCTATAGTATAGTCTAGACTATAGTCTAGTCTATAGTGTTGCATATAGTCTAGTCTTAAGTGTGGACTATAGGCTATTCTATACACTGGACTATAGTCTAGTCAATAGTATGGACTACAGTATAGTTAATAATCTGGAATATATAGTCTGGCTTTTAATCTAGTCTAAAAGCTAGACTGTAGCATATACTATGAGCTATTGTCAAGTCTATAGTCTATACTAGGTCTATAATCTGGACTGAAATATTAGAGACCTACTATAGTCATAGTCTAATGAAAAATCTATCTAGATTATAGTCTAATCCATAGTCTGGAATAAAATCTATAGTTTGGACTTTATTCCCTATTAAAGTCTAGTTATAGTCCAGGCTATAGTAGGGGCTATATTGTCCATCTAATATTATATGGACTAGTCTAGACTCTGGAGTATAGTATATAAGCTGAACCATAATCAGGTATCTGGTCTAGTCTAAAGTCTAGTTTACTTTGTAGTCGGGACTTAAGTTTATACTTTATGTATTTTATAGTCTTGACCATGGTGTCGTTATATTCTGAACTATAGTCTAGTTTATAGTCATGACTATATGCAGTTTAGTCAATAATCTTGTCTATAGAATAATCTGTAGTCTGGGGGGAAGTCTAGTCTAGTGTACTTTTGTAAAATAAACTTCATTTTTATTCCTTGACAACTCACCGATTTCTATCATTTGTATCCGTATGCTCTGTTTTGGGACGTTTAACCTGCAATTAGAACACAAAAAGTTATTTCATTTAATTAATTTTGTAAACGAGAATATTATTTAAACTAAAAAAAAAAAGTATGAACAAATCATAATTTATGCCATTTAAAAACAGATTAAATACCAGAAGTAGTAGTGTTTTTTAACAATAAACTAAAACGAAAAAAAAAAAAATTAACATGACATTTCGTGCGTGCAAACGTGATGCCGTGCGTGAGGACTCCCCACATTTGTGGCATTTACTCGTTTTTTTTTTTGTGCTTTTATTTTTCTGTGTTTCCCCCCGTTTTGGTTGGGATTCCTGCTTAAAGGTATTTAACGAAAATTTTAACATATTTCAGTGACACATTTCAATACTCTATAAATTATTTAAAAGTAAAACATGGCAACAGTAGAACCAAGAAGTTTTTAAAAGTATAAAGTTTAGATTGCATGTTCGCGTTAAAGTTATTAAAACAAATGCCAAAGCCCAGAAAACTTGACAGTATTAAAAAAAAGAGTGAAAAAGCAACCAGCTGTTTAAAGTAACACTTTAAAAGTTTTATGTTCTTTTTGTTTCCAGGAGATCATATTTTTCTTTTACTTTAACTTGGACAGGCTGGGATGTTGAAGAGATTTAATTAAAACAGGATTAATGAGGCCTAAAACCTTTAAACTAAAGCTTAATTAGCTAAATAAAGGGAAAACAAGAAAAACTTTTAATGTTTAAAAGAAAAGGCGCTAGAAATTGAAATACTAAAAACTGTTGAGTCAGCTTTCCGGGAAAAATAAATAAATTTATTAAACAAAACCCAAATCAAGGTGTCTGTCTGTCGCCTTTTTTTAAACTGTTAAATTTAATAAATTTTTTTATTAAATTTAAGCTTTATGTGCAGTTTTTTTTTTTTTTTGTTAACAAATGGTGGGAAAATTTTTTTATTACAAAAAATACATATTTTGTTTATAATTTTTTTGGCCCGCGATTTTTTTTATATATTTTTTTTTTTTTCATAAATAAATTTATACAAATTATTTGTTTTCCATAAACTAAAGTTAAAAATTTCTTGCTTATCTCAACAGCAATTAAAATTAATAAAAAAAGTAACACTAAGAAAAAAAAAACAACAACAAATAATCATGATGAAGATCATGATTTGTTAAGTGGCATGTGTGTGCTGGGCTGGTTCTAAAGAAACTTGGTAGAAGAAAGGGGAAGTATGCTCAAGAAAAAACTAACATGTTAAGGCTACGAAAAGTACCTTTTTACTAAAAAGTACTTTTCCAACAATATAGTCTAGTTTTTAGTCTAATATGTAGTCTAGTCTATAGTGTAGCCTATACTGTAGTCTATAAGGTAGACTATAGTGTAGCATATAGTGTAGTCTATAGTGTAGTCTATAGTCTAGTCTATAGTCTAGCCTATATTCTAGTTTATAGTCTAGTCCACAGTCTAGTCTGTAGTCTAATCTATCTTCAAGTCTATATTGAAGCCTATAGTCTAGTCTATAGTGTAGTCTATAGTCTAGTCTATAGTGAAGTCTATAGTGTAGTCTATAGTCTAGTCTATAGTCTAGTCTATAGTCTATTCTCTAGTCTAGTCTAGTCTAGTTTAGTCTATAGTCTAGTCTATAGTTAGTCTATAGTCTAGTCTATAGTCTAGTCTATAGTCTAGTCTATAGTCTAGTCTATAGTCTAGTCTATAGTCTAGTCTATAGTCTAGTCTATAGTCTAGTCTATAGTCTAGTCTATAGTCTAGTTTATAGTCTAGTCTATAGTCTAGTCTATAGTCTAGTCTATAGTCTAGTCTATAGTCTAGTCTATAGTCTAGTCTATAGTCTAGTCTATAGTCTAGTCTATAGTCTAGTCTATAGTCTAGTCTATAGTCTAGTCTATAGTCTAGTCTATAGTCTAGTCTATAGTCTAGTCTATAGTCTAGTCTACAGTCTAGTCTATAGTCTAGTCCATAGTCTAGTCTATAGTCTAGTCTATAGTCTAGTCTATAGTCTAGTCTATAGTCTAGTCTAGTCTATAGTCTAGTCTATAGTCTAGTCTATAGTCTAGTCTATAGTCTAGTCTATAGTCTAGTCTATAGTCTAGTCTATAGTCTAGTCTATAGTCTAGTCTATAGTCTAGTCTATAGTCTAGTCTATAGTCTAGTCTATAGTCTAGTCTATAGTCTAGTCTATAGTCTAGTCTATAGTCTAGTCCTATAGTCTAGGTCTATAGTCTAGTCTATAGTCTAGTCTATAGTCTAGTCTATAGTCTAGTCTTAGTCTAGTCTATAGTCTAGTCTAATAGTCTAGTCTATAGTCTAGTCTATAGTCTAGTCTATAGTCTATCTATAGTCTAGTCTATAGTCTAGTCTATAGTCTAGGTCTATAGTCTATCTCATAGTCTAGTCTATAGTCTAGTCTATAGTCTAGTCTATAGTCTAGTCTATAGTCTAGTCTATAGTCTAGTCTATAGTCTAGTCTATAGTCTAGTCTATAGTCTAGTCTATAGTCTAGTCTATAGTCTAGTCTAGTCTAGTCTAGTCTAGTATATGTCTAGTCTATAGTCTAGTATAGTGTATAGTCTAGTCTGTCTAGTCTATAGTCTAGTCTAGTAGTCTAGTCTAGTCTATAGTCTAGTCTAGTCTAGTCTATGTCTAGTCTAGTCTATAGTCTTGTCTAGTCTATAGTCTAGTATAGTCTAGTCTAGTCTAGTGTCTAGTCTAGTCTATAGTCTAGTCTAGTCTATAGTCTAGTCTAGTCTATAGTCTAGTCTATAGTCTAGTCTATAGTCTAGTCTATAGTCTAGTCTATAGTCTAGTCTATAGTCTAGTCTATAGTCTAGTCTATAGTCTAGTCTATAGTCTAGTCTATAGTCTAGTCTATAGTCTAGTCTATAGTCTAGTCTATAGTCTAGTCTATAGTCTAGTCTATAGTCTAGTCTATAGTCTAGTTTATAGTCTAGTCTATAGTCTAGTCTATAGTCTAGTCTATAGTCTAGTCTATAGTCTAGTCTATAGTCTAGTCTATAGTCTAGTCTATAGTCTAGTCTATAGTCTAGTCTATAGTCTAGTCTATAGTCTAGTCTATAGTCTAGTCTATAGCCTAGTCTATAGTCTAGTCTATAGTCTAGTCTACAGTCTAGTCTATAGTCTAGTCCATAGTCTAGTCTATAGTCTAGTCTATAGTCTAGTCTATAGTCTAGTCTAGTCTATAGTCTAGTCTATAGTCTAGTCTATAGTCTAGTCTATAGTCTAGTCTATAGTCTAGTCTATAGTCTAGTCTATAGTCTAGTCTATAGTCTAGTCTATAGTCTAGTCTATAGTCTAGTCTATAGTCTAGTCTATAGTCTAGTCTATAGTCTAGTCTATAGTCTAGTCTATAGTCTATAGTCTAGTCTATAGTCTAGTCTATAGTCTAGTCTATAGTCTAGTCTATAGTCTAGTCTATAGTCTAGTCTATAGTCTAGTCTATAGTCTAGTCTATAGTCTAGTCTATAGTCTAGTCTATAGTCTAGTCTATAGTCTAGTCTATAGTCTAGTCTATAGTCTAGTCTATAGTCTAGTCTATAGTCTAGTCTATAGTCTAGTCTATAGTCTAGTCTATAGTCTAGTCTATAGTCTAGTCTATAGTCTAGTCTATAGTCTAGTCTATAGTCTAGTCTATAGTCTAGTCTATAGTCTAGTCTATAGTCTAGTCTATAGTCTAGTCTATAGTCTAGTCTATAGTCTAGTCTACAGTCTAGTCTAGTTCTATAGTCTAGTCTATAGTCTAGTATAGTGTATAGTCTAGTCTAGTCTATAGTCTAGTCTAGTCTAGTCTAGTCGTCTATAGTCTAGTCTAGTCTAGTCTATAGTCTTGTCTAGTCTATAGTCTAGTATAGTCTAGTCTAGTCTATAGTCTAGTCTAGTCTATAGTCTAGTCTAGTCTATAGTCTAGTCTATAGTCTCGTCTATAGTCTAGTCTATAGTCTAGTCTATAGTCTAGTCTATAGTCTAGTCTATAGTCTAGTCTATAGTCTAGTCTATAGTCTAGTCATATATTCTAGATCTATAGTCTAGTCTATAGTCTAGTCTATAGTCTTAGTCTATAGCTAGTCTATAGTCTAGTCTATAGTCTAGTCTATAGTCTAGTCTATAGTCTAGTCTATAGTCTAGTCTAGAGTCTAGTCTATAGTCTAGTCTATAGTCTAGTCTATAGTCTAGTCTATAGTCTAGTCTATAGTCTAGTCTATAGTCTAGTCTATAGGCTAGTCTATAGTCTAGTCTATAGTCTAGTCTATAGTCTAGTCTATAGTCTAGTCTATAGTCTAGTCTATAGTCTAGTCTATAGTCTAGTCTATAGTCTAGTCTATAGTCTAGTCTATAGTCTAGTCTATAGTCTAGTCTATAGTCTAGTCTATAGTCTAGTCTATAGTCTAGTCTATAGTCTAGTCTATAGTCTAGTCTATAGTCTAGTCTAGTCTAGTCTATAGCCTAGTCTATAGCCTAGTCTATAGTCTAGTCTAGTCTATAGTCTAGTCTATAGTCTAGTCTATAGTCTAGTCTATAGTCTAGTCTATAGTCTAGTCTATAGTCTAGTCTGTAGTCTAGTCTATAGTCTAGTCTATAGTCTAGTCTATAGTCTAGTCTATAGTCTAGTCTATAGTCTAGTCTATAGTCTAGTCTATAGTCTAGTCTATAGTCTAGTCTATAGTCTAGTCTATAGTCTAGTCTATAGTCTAGTCTATAGTCTAGTCTATAGTCTAGTCTATAGTCTAGTCTATAGTCTAGTCTATAGTCTAGTCTATAGTCTAGTCTATAGTCTAGTTCTATAGTCTAGTCTATAGTCTAGTCTATAGTCTAGTCCAAGTCTAGTCTATAGTTTAGTCTATAGTTTAGTCTATAGTTTAGTCTATAGTCTAGTCTATAGTCTAGTCTATTAGGTCTAGTCTATAGTCTAGTCTAGTTAGTTATAGTTAGTCTATAGTTAGTCTATAGTCTAGTCTATAGTCTAGTCTATAGTCTAGTCTATAGTCTAGTCTATAGTCTAG